AAAAAAAAAAAAGAAAATGGAAACATATTTCAGACTTTCAAACTTATGAGTGTTTAAGAATAACATATAATTAAAAGATACACATATTACATAGATAACATAAATTAAATTTATTGGATTTATGTGTTTATTATTAAAGGAAATTTTGCAAAAAAAAAAAGAAAGAAAGCAAATGGAAACATGTACCGTTTCAGGATAGGCAGAACCCATATTGTCAAAGTGGCCATATCACCAAGACCGATATATATAAATGTGACAGAATCCCAATCAAAATACCAACAGCATTCCTCACAGAAATAAGAAAAAAATCTTACAATTCATTCTGCCTGGAAAGGCTTTTTTTAAAAAAAAGTAATTTCATGTGGAACTAGAGGAGACCGTATAGCAAGCAAAAGCCATCCTGGGCAAGCAGGAGCAAAGCAGGAGGCAGCACAAGCCCAGACTTCAAGTTCTGTTACGCAGCTATGTGACAGATAGTGTGGGCCCGGGACCTTACGTCCAGGGTTTGTTCACTGACAAAAGGCCCCAAAGCACAAGCTGGAGAAAAGACAGTCTCTTTAGCAAGTGGTGCAGGGAAAGTCGGCAATCCACATGCAGAAGACTGAACCTAGATCTGTATCTCTCACCATGTTCTAAACTAAAATCAAAGTGCATCAAAGATCTAAATATTAAAACAGAAACACTTAATCTTCGAGATCAAATAGGTAAAACTATTTAAGACAGGGGGATCAACCAAGGCTTTCAGAAAAGAACCCAAGTTGCACAAGAAACACTGAGAATCAACAAATGGGGGCTGGTGAGATAGCTCAGTGGATTACGTGCCTGCTTAGGCAAGCACAAGGCTGGGGTTTGATCCTCGACACCATATGCGCCAAGGGTTCCATCCCTGGGCCTACTCCCGGGACGTGCTGAGACTGGGCATGGTGGCATACACCTGTAATCCCAGCTCTGGGGAGGCTGTAAATAGGCAGAACACTACAAGTCCATCTGATCTAATAGTGAGACCCTGAACACCCTGTAGACCCTTCCCTAAAATAAAAATTAAAAATTTAAAAATTAAAGAACATCTGCACAGCAAAGAAAATACTGAACTGGGCTGGCGAGATAGCTCAGCGGCCTAAAACGCTTTCATAGGCAAGTTTAGGCAAAGCACAGGGACTGTGGTTCATCCGCTGCA